TCTCTTTACAAATCACGCCACAGTGACACGTCTATGTCGCGCTTGTTTTACCAATTTGCCTTCCCTTTTCGAATATCAACCCCCAGCAGATATGAGTATGACACACGTTAAGTGCGCACGATCGAGGGCAGTTTAAATCCCCTCCCCCCACCCGAGATTTTGGCCCGGTCACGTAAGCACCATTTCCAACCTAAACGCCTGAGGCTTTATTTAAAAGTGAAATTTTGTTGACAGGCTCTATCAGAAATGAAACACTTCAGGCCAGTTTGTATCGAAAGGCTGAAATTGTCTAGGAGAGGTTGCCTCTAGACCTCCACGGCTGCGTGTCGACAGCATACTAATGTTGGTCCAGGCGCAGTCGCTTAGTCCCTGGCTGAGTCCCAGCGGCGTGGCTGAAATTGACCAGTAAAATTCGATTGCATTGGCTAGTCTCATACTTTTTGCAGCAAAACTATCGATTTCCGATGTATCGATGGATCTCGCACACGAGGCCCGGCGCCGGCGACAGTGTGGCGTTGCGCTGAGGCTGGCTAGGTCATTATAGAAGTGTGACCATATACGGCACTTGCCCCGTTAGTGTGCGCCGACTCTGGCGCAAAGCTGCCGAACTCCCTTTTTTTCCCATCGACTTCAACGGAAAGGGTATGGCAATTTTTGCACTATCTCGTAATGTTGCTCTTCTGATCAAATCGCCACCCGCCAGCCGCTGCCAAGTCGGCACGGGAATAAAAATTAAAAATTCATGAATTATCCTTGGAAAAAAAATTCTGAAAGAAAGAGGTTCCCGAAAAGAGGAATCAATTTCCGAGGAAATTTTCGACGTTTTAAAAATGTGTCTTTTTAAAGCTGGAATAGGGGATGAGCAATGAAAATTTTCATTACCTATCCTCAATAGAAAATTGCGTTAATTTGATATTCGAAAAAATTTAGTGCAAATATTGTCATACATTTACATTCTAAAGAATTCTTTGATTCGTCTGCACCAAAACTTGTGTACAACTGTCCTATTATGCATATGCATGTAGTGTCATGCATAAATCTATTATGCATTGCCGAGGATAAAGTTTCTCCTTTTGGGTAGAGTCGAAAATGTACTTTTAAACTATACACGTTAATAATTAAAATAACCTTCGTAAGAAACTTTAAAACTTTAAAACTTTAAAACTTTTTCGTGCGAAGAAATAATTAAGACTATTCAATCAGTTGCCACTAGCTAGTGAATTGGTCAAGCGAGTGTTCAGATAAATGTCGAATTTGAATGAACGATAGTTTCTCTTTTGCTTCAATGAGAAGTCAGGCGTATTATTTCAAGATTCAGAGGTATTTTAGTCAGAAATCTCAGTTAGACCAGTTCTGAAGCAAATTTGTAACTTACACTATGATTTGACTTAATGATCAGTGGAGGTAGAAGAAACGAAATATTTTTTTTTATCCTCAGATATCTTGATATAGTATATTCTGAAAAAACGCATAATGTCATTATGAAATTGAAACATTCTTAATCCTCAGCTTTGCAATCTGGCAACGTTTGGTGGCGCCAAACGGCAATGGCTCAATGGCTGCGACTCGAGCTTTTCGGGTCATGGTTTTCAAATCCAAAATCATAACCGTGTGATTTTCGCAGGTGTGCGCCATGACTCATCGGCCAAAAGACCGCGCATTCAATTTGGACCTTTTCTTAAATTAAGTGAAAAGACTTTTAATCACCGACGCGACACAGGAAAAACCTGTCAGGTTTGAAGAATATAACAGCGGCACCTAGCATCTGAACGTAGATTGGTGGGAGTATATGTGGAGTAACCCAACCAGAACTTCCTCGAAAGTTTGTCGATAGACGTGCCCAATCCTTTAACTATCACATCCAAGGAATATCTATTAATACAGACTGGGGTTTTCTACAATCAGTCGAAATTTGGTCTGACGCTCATCACCCCATTTAAAAAAAAGACATTAATATTAACAAAATTAGGACTATTGCAGTGAGTTTCATTGTTATGACAACGATAGTGAAATGTGCAAATGTTTACTCATCACCTTATCGTAAAGATACTTTCATACTTTTTTTGACGAAAAAGGTCTTTGGACCGCCCAGAAAAACTTCTTGGAGTACTCAATCTTTTGAAAGGGATAAAGGAGTAGTCAATACAGAGATGACTTTCAGAATACTGAGTTATTACAGTCTCAATTATATTATTACGCACAGTAATCACATGCGATACGAGTGATCTTGACAATAAAGAATTTTACGGTGGTTAAAGATATTTGGAAACAGAGAATTTTCTATCGAGAAAATATTTTGCGAAATTAAACACCTACAATAGACTCTGGATTATCCGGCTTCGTATTATCCGGACTCTGGATTATCCGGATCGATTTTGGAACCATGTAACTACGTGCACATTCCGATAAGTGAGCGGATCCGCGGAGAAGCGGTTGCAAGGCATATTGGCGCCTGCAAGGCTGAAAGAATACTTCACGCATTGCGCCAAACAGTGAAGTCGGCGTGGAACGCATTAGCGCCTACTAGATTGCATAAATAGTTCTCGCATTACGCCAAACGCAGTGCAGTCGGTTAGTTAGCCTAAAACGCACATTAGCGGCTACAAGACTGCATGAATACTTCACGCATTGCGCGCCTTAATCGTTGTATTGTAATTTATTGTTGTCGGCTACCATTCACAATCACCATTGACTCGTTCAGTTTGGCGTTAACCTTTTAAATTCGTGTTGGTATGTACATGATGTATACATAATAAGAATACTGTGGTGTTGGTTGGTGGTGTTTGTGTTTACTATTATTATCCCAATTTCTTTTTCATCCGGATCGGGCCCGGCACCAGTTAATCCGGATAATCCAGAGTCTACTGTACATTATCTAACTTAAAGAACTGAGTTCCAGTCTGAAAATCCAATGTATCACCATCATACAAACTAATGGCAAAATATTCATTTGCAAGGTAACAAGGTTGCTTTCTTTCCTCTTATTTTTCCTTTTTTTAAAATAAAAATATCCGTCATTATGATACTACTTAATGCATACTTAGTGTTGCCCACTTAAGGAGAAGATAAGATGAAAAAAATGAGAGAAAAAGCGGAAAATTATTTTTCCATTGGTTCATAATAATTATGTTACTGATTTATTGCTTTTCGGAGACTGGATTTTAGATATGGGCTGCACTTTTAATTGTCTTCATCTCTTGTGGGTAGAGACTTGGGTAAGCATTTATCAACAGCTTTTTAAAAAATAAATTATGATGCAACGGTTTATTCCGGTTATTTAAACTTTAAAAAATACACCTGATGACTGGTAAATGTGCTAAAGAATACCTCTAAAAATGTGTATATTTGTTCTCATTTATGTTCGAAAAAATTATCAGCTTGGAACTGACTATGACGAATTTCTGTCATCTAAAATGCGCCACCTTATTCACAGCCAATTCATAGCCTGCGATCTAATAATGATATCATTGTTTTCAATCTTCTCAGATATCATTGAAAATTTTGAGTAAAAACGTTTCCATCCCTTAAAGCGGTTCAAAACTCAAAAATTCAAATTGGATTTGATTTACATATCATAAAGTGGTGATACTCTAAATAGAATGGACTTTTTCGATTATTTAATTCTTAAAATAAAAAAAAATCTTCTTTCAACGAAGTATCAAAACTGGCAGCGAGGAAATTCGAGATAATTATGGTAATCCATTGAAAATATAAGTACAGCTGTATAAGTGCTGAATTTCAGCGCATTTATTTGAACGTTTGTGGAAGAGTCTACGATTGAGTTAAAAGAATATGACAAAGCAGAAAATATGCAACAACAAATATTTTTATTTAAATCATAAAACATATATAATACAAAAATATTACAAAAAATAAATTACCGAAGTTAAATATGCATCGGGTTGAACAAATCAAACAAAATATAGTTGCAGTTTCTTAACATTTAGTTATAAAATAATGTAAAATTAGCAAAATAATGTAGTGATACATCATTTTTCGTTTGACTAGATTTTTTGTACTAGGATCTTGGTGGCGTTCTGAGCATTAAGTATTCGTTGGTAGGATGGAAGTAGGTAATCATGCCATTAAAGTAGATCCAAATTTAAAAAAAGAAGCAAGTGATAGGCGATAAACCCAAGATGGATTTAATACGGGCAAAAAGCATACAAGGAATATAAAATAGACTTTTGGGTATGCAAAATGTAACAGCATAACTTTACTGCGTCATGCAGTATCTTGGCAAGGCAACTAAAACTAAACTAATAATTACGAAGCGCTAATGCTAAGTGTAAAGAGCTGCATGGTTTGTAGAAAAAATAGGGATTTTAACAGCTACCAATACTATCACAGAATGAGTGAACTTAAATGCAAGTCATGGCCGTCACGGTAAGAAAAAGAGAGCTTTTTTATATTATTATCGTAAGTCCCTGTTAGTACAAACATCGGACCAAATATTATGGCACTGGGAATGGAATTGGTAAGAATAATCAGGAATGAATGATGGATTATACTATTTGAGAATCAAAATTCATACGATGTCCAGGTGTTGGAATGGAAAAAAATTTTAAACCTAAATTGTAAACGTTCCGAAAACATAGGCAAAATTGAGTGGTTAAAATTCCACATGTTGTTAAAAACGTTCTCCAGTATGAGCCCAAAATTTCCCTTTAATTTGATAGAATTAAAGTACCACTGATTTTTCCAGCAATCGAGAGGTAATTATCATCTTTATTGAAGACGACTTGAAGTTTGTCGCTACGAAGCGATTTTTGCAATTGCAACATATGAGCTCGATAAAATTAATATATTTGCATAATGAGGTATTGGAAGTGATGTTGCTGACAATGGAATGGTAAAAATACATTAAATCTTGAACTCAAAGATTTTAACGTTTTCAATATCAAAGAGAACATGTAGCTCATGAGAGATCGCAGGTCCAGCCATTATTGAACTACATGAGCCGCACCAGTGGCAAAACATCAGCTCTTGAGCGGAAGGGGGGGGGGACGGAGCTGATCTCCATGGAAATATACTTGGCCTTCTCCAAAAAATGTGACGGATTTTGTAAAATAAGTGCGTTCATCTTTGAACTTGTATTTCTTTAAATTTTTCCGTAATAAACGCTCAGTATTGCTCCTAAGACATAATTTCATTTTTCAAAATATTCTAGCAGGGGAAACCCTTACCCCACCTTGGAGTTAGAAAAGTTCTTCAAATTCTCCATCGGAATCGAGAGAGTTCCCCAGATCCCTCCGTGGTGGGGTGTCCTCCTGCGTCCCCCAGACCCTCCTTCCTTGATGAGGAGCCCCTCTGTCCCCCTACCAAAAAGTTATTAGTTCGGCCCATGCGTAGCTCTAATTTAACTATGCATAACAGTCGGCTGGTTATCAGCACTGAAACATGTACCGCTGGCTGTAGTAGGGGGCGCCACCTCCTGTACCACAATGTGCGTCGCATTTGACGTCGGGGAACCTCCGCTCATGGTCGAGCCAATGGGGCTGATCGCGGGGGTCCGGGAGGCCCACCTCAGGAACTGGGTCGGAGTCGAGGTCCGGGAAGACCGGCCAATCGGGCGCCCCTTCCGGGTAGATCGGCGAGGAAGTGTAAAAGCCCTCCGACTTGATGGATCGCTCACCCTCGAAGAGATCCCCCATGGGCTCGGTCGGGAACTGGGGAAGGTCTCCGCTGTTGCAGGAGGGTGGGGAGGAGTAGAAGGAGCTTTGGTCCATCAACGGTTTCTTGTCCTCGTATTTTTTCTGCTGAGCCAAAGCGCAACTCCCCGTTGTTGATGTTATCTGTGAAAAAATCGACGGACAGTCTTGTGAAACTATTCAAATAATTTATAAAAGTTGTAAAAATTATTGTAACAATCGTCATTTTCTAGACGAGGAGACGTAACTCCATTACAAGGTTGAAATCTACTCGAATAAATCAAATTTTTAAAAGAATGTGAGTTTAAACTTTTCAGCCAGAATTCATCACCTTTTTTTTTAAATTTTTACCAACATTAATAAAATCGTAATTTAGAGACTCTCAATAGGAGGTACCTTAGTGGAAATATACTTTCCAAGTGAAAATTTTACGACGCTGACACGTATTCACGTTCTTTTGTCTGTTTAACGATGAAATCTTCGCGGCTCATCATTGAACTCATAGGTAATATGTATGCTGAGGATAGATAAAATATTTAGTGGTGATTGATTTGATGATTTATGTGCGGTTTAATGTAAAAGTCCTTTTCAATGAAGCTCATGTTTCCCTTTTAGTTTGTAAGTTTCAAGATTTTTGACAATTTTTCCTTTTATAAACATGATCATATTTGGTTTATGTTTCTTTTCCGCCTCTCTTGTAGTCAAATTTCAAGGTGATAAGTCTTTGGTCGAAACAAATTTTGAAAAAATTTGTCGATACGCGTCACAACATTTTTATAATTACAAGTGTTTGAGAGCATGGATTATTCAGTCTCCGACATAAATTCTACTAAATGGTCATGGTTACGGATTAGACTCTACTTTTTCCCCGATGAGTTTGATTTGATCTGAAATGTTCGAAATTATTGAGCATTTAAAAATGTCCCAACTTGGAACGCGGCCAAACAAGCGAGCAGCATGAGACAAATCAAGGTGGACATCAAAAAGGACGAATAAGGATAAAATTGATGGACTCGAAAACTTTGCGGTCGGCCCATAGCTCACCGGCTCACCCGCGTTAGCATGATAAGGAAATTTTGGCTGAAATCTCCTATACATTCGTATCCGGGAGTGAAATTATTAAGATGCCAGAGCTTCGATATTCGCCATCGAAACTTTACTGACTGTTCTTCTGTTCAAAGCAGAAACACCTAGTGAAAATGTTCATCCGAGATCGGAACTGTGTACAAACAAACCTATGTGTTAATTTTCGAATCAAAATCAATTTTGTACATGCGTATGGTTAGAAGTTTTATCACTGGTCACTGGTATTTTTTAATTTTGCGCTCACTGGAAAATCAACCTTGGATCTAGAGTCCAGACTCTTAAAAACATCGACAAGAAAAAGCACTCATGATTCAATTAGAATCTAGCTTAAATCAAGAACCAAGCCTCTTAATTTAAGCGGATTTCGTTTTTATTCAAGCAAAAATCCGATTAAATCAAGAGTATTTTTTCTTGTCAACGTTTTCAAGAGTCTGGACTCTAGATCCAATGTGTTTTTTTTCAGTGCTTAGCAAAAGTGATGCTATTAAATGTTCATCCTTGTTTGATTCGTTTTTTCTAATATAATTTTTTCTATATACTAAAAATAAAAAAAAAAACTTATAGGAATTTTGAACGGTTAAATATTGAGCTTGCCTTTTGAAATGGATACCGCGACTCTTTCTGTCTCCGATTTTTGCGATTGAGGCGCCGGCGCCGTTTAGCAACGCTGTGAGTATAAGCGTCTCGCGCATGTGCGTCCCTGACATTAATGGATTAGTCTCCTCCAAAAAGGGAAAGATGCAAGCATGACCTAAATCCGTCCCAGGCGTTCCGAATTTCTCCATTGTATGCGCTTCATAACATGTATTGTACCATCCTTTCGAAAGCGAGAAGTTTCGCGAGAGGAATAAAAACTCGAATTAAAATTCTGCGCCCATATGATCGCGAATAATATTATAACTCTGAAAGTAACAAAATGTGTATCTTTATTGTTGATGAATCAATCCCACTTTATGTTGAAGGACTCTTTGAGGCTTTATGATAAAATTCACAGAGTTCCTAATCTTCTTCGAGAGAAAATTCGTCGTGTCAGAACAGGTCTCGCGACCGTGCAAAGAAGATTTCTGACATATTGTTGCAACCTACCCTTGGAGGGCCTATCATGATACAAACGGGCACTCGTTTATTTGATTGTCCCTATGTTCATTTGCACTTAGGATTTCTCTATTTGTGAGGTACAAAAAGACAGACGTGTCTAGTCTTGATTTAAAAGTTGTAAGAGGTAAGTTCAGTCGACTGTGTTTTAGATTTCAATTGCATGAAACACTGCATCATAAAACCTTTGAGACTCCCACTATCTTGCTCCATTGAAATTAAAAGTATTGTGTTTCAACTGCTGAACTCCTGTGCCAAGGTGGACAAAATTTGCGCAAAAAAAAAAACATATCGACGGCGTAAGTCCGCGACAACGTATCTCGTTTGGTATCATATTCACCATTTAACAATATAACCATCAAACATGTTTCAAATGTATATCTCACAATATTGGAAAGGTAATCGAACCACGGGGGTGGTTGGATTGTAAAATCTACATTGAAACAAGTCGGACACTTTCTTAAACTACAAATTTATTAAATCAGCAATATCTTGTTTCCCGTGTAAACTTGGTGGTATTTTGGTGCTTCAAAATCATCTGTGCCGATGACATATGCCTAGCGGTGATTTCCGGTAGCCATCTAAACGTGTATAGACAGTCTATAGTTATCTGGTTATAACTTACCTCTTGTAATTTTTACTGTTTTCTTTTGTGCTATCTCTCATTCGATTTGATGTAATTTTATTCTGTATTTAAACCTTCTGGTGGCCTAAAAAGAATACCAAAAAAAAGCAAAAAAGCATGTGCTTACCTTATTTCCGGCGGAGCCGATGGAGACAACAACGCTGCCAACGTTGAGCGTGACCTCTTGTTGGACGCAGTGGAGAGTTTGGCTGAGGGCCCAAATGTAGTTGTGGGCGAAGCGGAGGGTCTCGATTTTGGTGAGCTTCGTATCCTCCGGATAGGTGGGCAGCACCGTCCGCAACCGGTCCAGCGCCTCGTTCAACATGTGCATTCGATTCCGTTCGCGGTCGTTCGCCTTCATTCTTCGGTGCCGTTTCAACCGCAGAATCTACACAAAACCAAAGAAAATATGTTCAGAAATACAAACCTCGAAATATCCGAAAAAGTTGTCAGCCTGGGTTGGGAGCATGCAAGATAAGGGTCTACTTGAGTCGAAAACACGGAAAAAATTAATCGGTGGTTTATAACAATTAAATTGTTAAAAAATATGTCCAACATGTCTGAAATGTACATTTTACAATATTTGAAAGCTAATTTAATCGCGGGTTTAGTTAAATCAGCATTTTTTTATTGTAAAATCTACATTGAAACACGTCGGTCACTTTTTTTAACTGCGAAATTGTTAAACCAGCAATATCCTTTTTTCCCGTGATGAATCCGGAAATACTTGCCCGCAGACTCATCACCCACGGTATAATTCACTCAGGCCTTTTCAATCACAAATCTTGACCCACAGCATTTAGACCCCCGTGCACTTTTTTATTCATAGTTTTTTTTTGCGGAGAAGAAATTTTCACCCACATCTATTTTACACTACCGAGATGGAAGTTTCAGGTGAGGTTGAGTTGAAATCGAACTTGATTTTTAACATCAGTTTCGAGTTATTCAGCCGTAAAAAACACGTAGGTCAAGAGGGTTGCGCGTGAATATCCATGGGTTAAAAAGTCTTGGGTTGAGACGCGTGGGTGAATAGCCTCTCGGGCGAAAATACTGTGGGTGAGTAGTCCTGGCACCGTCGAGAATAATCGATTACCATTCGCAACGCTGACGGAAAAACCGGCAAAACGGAAAATTATCGGTTTCACCACCAAATGCGTCTTTTTTCAGCTTCAAATAGCTCCTAGGGGTTAATCTAACGTGGGTGATAGTGAGAACAGATTATGAAATTTCAAGAGTGAGAAGAAAACGGGGTGAAAGCCCCCGCTTCATAGGCACTCAGCTTCTCTTCAGCTCACGATACAAAAATGTTCAGCAACACCCGCATTCAAAAAAGCTTGGCAGCTGAAGCCGTGATTCGGCAAAACCACCGGAAGCTTGGAGCACAACACCGTACTTTAGGTTGTTTTACCAAATTTTGCCAACCAGGATCTAGAATCGAAGCTACAGTAACTGGGATTTTCCGCCGAGCACGGATATTGCCGAAATTATTTTTTCCTCGGAGTTCAGTGTTTTTGATGGAGTAATTTTTCACGCCTGAAATGAAAAATTGAGGGGCTTGGAGGACAAGGAGCATAAGTGCAGTTTATGGTATTTCACGAAATACGTGTTTGAAATTCGAAATTACATGGCTCCTTATTGCGGAAAGAAAGTTCAAACTGACTTTTTGATGCTTATAGAAATTCGAATTTGGGAGCGAATTTTTCACGGAATGCATTAAGATACGCGTTTTACTTGAAATCATTAAAATCTCAATTTTTTCAAAGACTGCACTTATGCGCCTTGTCCTCCAAACCCTTCAATAAATGATTTATTCAGGACGTTTGAAAAGAGATATCATTTTGATGCAATTGATGAAGCATTCAGCTTGCAGATCTATATCCCTGAAAAATCTGAAAAATGGCATCGATGTGCCTTGTTTGTTATCAATTTTCTCTTCCTCTCAGATCCCGGCCGCCACCATGTAGGGCTCAGGTTTTTTATCGTTTTATCTTTTAAATTTTTATTGTTTTTGACTAAAAATGACTCAATTTTGAGTCGAAACGTCTCGGGTTTCATTATATGTGTATTTTTAGCCTTGTTTCCCGTTTTTTAATCCTTGTTTTCCCACTATTATCCTTGAAAATGCTCTCGCACCTGTGTAGGACTCTTAGCCCTCGTGTTCCTTCGCTGCTTCTTCTTGGGCGTCTTCTTGTCCTCCTTCTTGCACTGGGCGAATTCCTCGTCCTCGTCGTCGTCGAAGGTGCCGGAAACATCGGCGAAGTCGGAAGTGTTGCCCGAGCGGAAACTGAGGGGGCTTCCGGCGGCGCTGACGCTGGGCGGGCCCCCCGCAGGGTACTCATCCTTCACCTGCGAGCAAGGGCTCCACTTGCTCCCGAAGCTGTCCATCGACTCCCCTTCCTCCGCGCAGGCCAGCTTGCAGCGCGGCTCGTAGCCGCTCAGCGCCTCTGCGAACCTCTTCGGAGTGCTCATCACCTGCAACCAAACACGCGAATATGCATGAGTACCAGATCCGCACGATTTGAAATTCTAAAAAAATATGAGCAGTTTTATTCACCAGCTGGCTTAAAATTGAAATAAATTAAATACAGTGTATCCAACTGACAGACACGTCATTTAGAGAGAGTAGGTAATGAGAGGGGGTGGGGCCCCCCCCCCCCCTGTATTTTGAAGTTGACCTTTACCTTTGACTCGTTGAATCGATTTTGATTTTTCAAAGATTAGACTGTCTTAATTCCTTTCCCTAAGCAAACGTTTACCTCCTCCGAAGGAGGGCCAATTGTATACAGTTTTAAAGAAGGAAAGAAAATGTCGAGTTTTTTTTTATTGCGACGGTTAAAGTATTTTAACTGTTTTAATTTCCTCATTTCATTTTAAATCCTCATTGTATAAATCTTTTCAACACTTTTACCACCCTCTATAAACTGTGTTTGTAATGATGCCCCTGCCGACTGACATATTTCGATTGGAAAAAAACATCTACAGAAGATAGTGTGTAATTTGATCAAATTTGTTGTGTGAAGGCGTACTGGCGTAAGTGTATTGGAACATTTTAAAATAATTACGCACAGTTCATTTTTTTACAGATGGATTACCAAAAGGCAAGGCCATTATTTGATTGGCCGTAATGGAAAATTTTCTTTTATTCACTAAAAACATTCTGTAAATTAACCATTTATAATAACGTGCACAAGATTTTGAAAGTATGATATGTTGCAATGAACTTTTGCTCTTAAGAAAGAAATCAATGTTTCAAATTTTTATTTAGTAGACCTGAAGTTAGACATGGCAGATGAAAAAATTAAAAATTGTTTTCACTGAACTCAAGTACATATGCTGCCAAATAAAGTTCAGGTTATCAAAGAGTCCTATCATCTTAACCAAAATTCTGTTTCAGCAGCCGCACTTTCCAGGGCTCATAATCCAATTATGACTCAATTTCACCTATGATAATTAAATTTTATGGTAACGGAGACAAATAATTTGGTTGCGCTAACCGAATATTTCGATTATTTAAACTTTAATCTCCTCCAAATTTTCATTTTACGGAAGTTTCTGTCTCAGTAAAATCTGTAGGTAGGGTTTCAGGCTTTTTTCCCCACAAAATATCATTTTTCGGATTCTGAGTGCTTTGAAATTAATTTTTAAACTTTAAAATATGATTTTTAAGAGCCGCGTTAAGTTAGGATAGCTGCATTTTGTTGAATTCAATCCAGTGGACATTAATATTTACAAAGAGATATAATACGAAAGTTGCCCGCCTAAAAGAATGTTACCAGAGAGTAAAGGAGTAATGTACCAATTCTCCAAGAGTTTTGTTTCTGCGACGGCCTTATAAGAAATTTGTTTTTTAAATTATTATGATGCATCGAGCAAAGTCACAACAAAAATTGATTCTGCATTAATGTTTAAATCATATGCCCTTAGACACAGTGCCCCAAATTTTTAGGAAAATGTGGCACATGGCATCTTGTAAATCCAGAACGTTGATAATTTGATTACTCACCATTGTACAGGAGGTTTATTTTCCAAAAAGGTGGAAGAGCTACGTATCCTTTTTCACGATGTTAGCACAACACATCACCACTTTAAGAAGTACCGTTACTTGACACAACTTTTGCGGATTTTAAATGAGCAAACTCAGCCAAAGTAGAAAATCCGAACAAAAACAAAATGGTCTGGAATTGCACAAGTTTAAGAAAAAAACGTCAAATTGCACGAGAATAAAAGGAACACTCTCCTTTTAGTAGAATGAGCACTTCAGTAGTCTAAAAATGCCGAGCCGGTGAAAATTAATCAAAGTAAAGTTTTAAGTTTTCAAACACAAAAGTTCGTTTGAAGTTAAAGTAAACTTTCTAAATAAAGACCATAACTCCAAATTTGGAAACGGTAAGTAGGCATTGAAACTTTGATCCTTAAAGCCGAATGCTTTCGTTAGAAACAATGATGTCTGACTTAAGAGACTCTTGAAATTTAATTACAGTCTTTAGGTTAAGCGTTTTTCATCCCTTAATTATTGATCAAACTATCGCCTGTAAACAGTGGCTCTTCATAATTTCCAAAAAGTGTCACTTATGTAACGAGAGAGAACGTCAGGAACCACGGTAATCACACACTTTTGAGTCAAGATTTGAACAATATCCAAAGAGGGGTGTTTCAAGGGTTGGAAAACCCCTCGATTTTATACCTTCTCGATCGCGTACGAAAAATGTTGGAAGAATGATGGAAATCTTAGAAACGATCCAGCGAAAAAAAAGCAAAAAATTACGGTCGGAAATGGGTGTAAGTTTAAAGGGTGCAAATCGGGTAGGGGTGAGAGGGGTTAACGGATGAACTTTTAAGAGATGACAAAAAAAGTTGACAAAACTTGAATGAAATTCACGGAGCGGGTGGGCGGAAAAACGCTCGTCTAAGAATGCGAGAATGGAGGCGAGACTCCGCGGTTGTGAAAATTGTAGTAGTAAATTTTTTTTGTGAATGAGTTTATGAATGAAGGCTGAGGTTGCGAAAGCGTAGACTGGGCTCGCGTGAGCGTGGGGCGTCAGTCGCGGACGTGAGCGTGGAGTTGACTGAATGGAGCGTCTGGAGGACGGGCGGAGCGGAGTGGAAGCGGTCAGGAGTTTCACTCCAGTTCTGGAGTTATGAACGGAACCGCGACACCCGCTGGCGCCACCGCTGACGTCATCGGGATCCACCAGCTGGCTCCTGCAGCGCGCCGCTCGTAGGGTCCGTGCTCCTCGCAAAAAGCGGGGTCACATGTTCAGCAAGTTGTACGAAAAAGTTACACTTACGCTCAATCTGCAAGCTTTGCTTAGTTAGACTGCCTTAAATTTGCTGATTCTGGGTGTTTTTGTGCTACTGCCAAAATAAAAGAAAAAAAATAAAATAATAATTATAAGAAATTACGACGAAATGAAATTAAATCAATAAAATGTAACATCCAAAATTTTTACAGGAGGTGAAATGTTCCATTAGTTTAATTAAAAAGTTGAATGTTGTAGTACAATGCTCTCTCTTTCTTCAACGAGAACTGGAGGGATTGGCTGATTTCCTCGCCATAGTGAGGTTCTCGTTACAATGATAGCCATCATAGAGAGACAGTGTTGTACATCCATTAGTATAAAACTCTTTAAACTCGATTTTCGAAAATCAGATATTGCCGGAACTATTGATTCGATCATCGTAATTTTTTTTTTAAATCTAAAATTCCGTCGAATGGACTACCTATACATTTTGCAATTAGGAACTACAATTTCTGGCTCATTAGCTTAGAAACATTGTGTGTAGCATTAGTTTCTTCATGCACATACGTGTTTTTATAAATGAGCCAGAAATTGTACCTCCGAATCGCAAAATGTAGACCTTTGCACTTAATTTTTTATGGAGTTTCTTTTTTTTTCAAGTAATTGATCTTTATAGCTTGGAGACGGAAATGAGTTAAAACCGCTCCGCTTAGATCTATGTCCACAAATTCTTTTGAGCCCATAGAGCGTAAGGAAAGACATCTTGAAAAAGAATCTCAAACCAGTCAAAAGTCGAGACAGTTTTGATATGCATTTTTATCGACTAATAAGCACTCAAAAATGTGCCTTTCTCTTTTACATTCTCTAAAAAATATAATTTGTGACAAATAAAAATTAGTTGCTTTAAGCATTAGAGTAAGAGAATCAAAAATACTGTTTTTACAAACATAACTGTGTGACCGCTCTGTGTTTGACGCAATGCGTGAAGTATTCGTACAGTCTCGTAGGCGCTATGCGTTTCACGCCAACCGCTGCGCTGCGCTGCTGACCGCACTGCGTTTGACGCAATGCATGCGCAAAGTATTCGTGGAGTCTTGTAGGTGCTGATATGTGTTTCATGCTGACCGGCGCGCCGAGGACTTCTTTTCATCTCAAGTTCGAGTCACCATTGCTCTCTGTGCCGCGCCGCTCCAGGCCAATTTGCGTGCTCGGTTTCTCTCTTAACTTGAGTAATGAAAGGTACTGTCTTTTGTATCACCGAAAGACGAAAAATTTAAAATTACTGTACTTTAACTCTCAAGAAATGAGAAATTTTGTCGCCTTTCCTCGTTTGCATTGTTTTTTCTGGATCGGATTTTTTTTTTATACCTACATTAGATAAAATGGCAAAATTTGCCGCTCCCTAAATTTGCCGCCATTAGTCGCGGCCCATATGGCCACCCCAGGACCCGGATCTGGTTGGACTTATTAATTTTTCTGCGGAGGAAGTTAAGAAAATACCTATGGAGAGATGGAGATGGTTAAGGATTAAGGTTATAAAATATCATAAAATATAACAAAGCAAAACATGTAGGGCAAGTCGATGTTCATTTTAAAAAAAGGCAGTTGCTTATAGTTAGGTGAAGACAAATTACATATCCGTAAATATATCAAAAAAGTACACCACTTTTATTTACATTGTATCGAATCATGCGAATCGATCATAATATTACCTTCAACTTTGATCAGAATTTAAATATGAATTGCGCAGATTCAATTCCATGATTTTAACTCGCGATGAGCATTCATCCAAGCTTTAGAACAGTTTCTCAGCTTTAATCAGCTAAATAGCTATCAATACACTTTCAATCACAGACAAGAGTAAAGAAATTAGTTAATCACTTCGCCATTTTTCCGCTCACTGAGCGACGGCGCAGTGGTGCTGGTGGTAGACACGAGGTCTGGTCTGGTGCGCCTATTGGCTTTCATTGATAGCGATCTGCAAATCTGCATACAGGTCATTCGGCGCGTTTGCCGGTCGAATGTAGCAGCCGTCCCGGTGCTTATTAGCTTAGAAATTAGTACTACCATTCTGTCGATCACAATGGCACGAGAAAACCACATGGTCTTTTAGACTCGTTGATGTTTAAAGGAAAGGACCAACACCCAACTCTCTTGTGGCCCAACTTGCTATGTATGAACTAAGACTGATCGTGTCTCAGATCTATACCAATCCACGATTTTTTTCTAAGCCGATTATGAGCATCAAATAATGAATAAACATTGTAATATCATTTTAAAAAATAATTCAAATGAATCTATAATAATTGTTGAATACTTAAATCAACAAAGCTGCTTGAATGAAGTAAAAACTATACACGATTTTAATGAATAACCAAGCTTTAAGTGATTTTTTAAGTACTTTGAGGTAGAACCGACTAAAGAATAAGTGGATTAAATTATTCGCTCTCCGTGCTTTTACTCTGATTAAATCTCAAAGCATGATAAGCTAATTCGTGACACCAGGCGCCGACTATCAGATTTCTTTCAAAATTAAAAATTGAATCAAATAAACTGAATGATGAGCTCACCGTTGCTTTACTTTGGCAGGTGGCCTTTATTTCAAGGTGCATGCCTGCTTGGCCCTGAAAAAACTGTGTGTGATGTTAATCTTCATATTTTCGTTCAGCATAGATGCTACTCATCTATAAAGACATTTGTCATCACGTTTTGTCGGATAAATAGTTTTTAGAAAATTCACTATGTGCCTAGAGATCCGAACGTTTGTGTTTGTTCCAGTCTTAATTATTTTAGTCGCGGTAAGTCTTGACGCCCGAATATTTCTTTGCCTTCTCGGAGCCTGTGGGCTCTGAGCCCTGATGATAGTATATGTGAAAAGGTGAAAGTGTGAAAAAAATGGGGAAGAATAGAGTGATAAAGAAAAGCCCTGGAAGCTATGTGAGATTCATTCTAAGTAAAAATTACTGCTCGCGCGGAGGACTCATGGTTCCAGGCTCAACCAAGGGAAAATTCGGGGCCCAGCCCCGTTGACACGGAAAAAAAACTACTTTTAAGTTAATCAATTTTAAATATGTGATTCAATATTACTTTTATTTATTTGTCTATGTAGCAATTACTTCTTAATTATACAAATACCTTGGTACACAAATCCAGAAATTTAGGACTATAAATTGTCCTCCAGAGCGATTTTAGAGTGTTACGTAGCAAAACATTTAGCAAAAAAATAAAACACACAAGGTAAAGTCACTGCATGCTTTACGCCAAACGTCGTGGTTGGACGATTGGTGAATTATTCCTACATTCTTCCTGACTCCTGAGTATTCGTGACATCTGAGAGTCATACGACTATTCGACCACGTAGGAGCTCGGGTTGCCTACACTGAAAACTGAAGGCAAACTGACAGTGAGGTAAAGTCACCGCTCCGCACGCCATGCGTTCGGTGAATCATTCCTGATTGTTTATTCCTGTATAATAGCAACGGAAAGTCGTTATGGAGCCCTATTAAAGTCTAATTTGTATCCCTATTTGTTTCAAAGTTTTTATCAACGTTTAAGTTTACCGTTCATTCATCATTCAATGCTGCATATCTGCCAAAATAATGACTCGATTTTTCAAAATGATCGGGTTAATTTCCCTGCTTCTTCTTCCCTATACTTCTGGTTACTTATATAATTCGGCATTTACTCTCCTCTAAAACAATCATTTAGAGTTTTAATAGTTGAACTCTATGTCTGAAATACAATTCTCTATCCTTAGTTGTGTCCACAGTCCGAGTCTTCCACCGATAGTCCATCGCCGTCTGACGAATCCCTAAGCAGCAAGTCCGCGCCTGACTTATACATCAACGCTCTGGAAACATTTGATGCCGCGAACCCTTCGAACACCGTCCACTGCTGCAGCAAACTGACCTCCGCCGTTCAAGCCCTGCTGAAGGACACAGACGCCCGCCGCTGGGATCAGCTCATGGCCCCCCTCTATGCTTTCGCTAATACACGTAAAGACCTATTTCCAGATGTACAATACCGTCTCAACTTCTACCTCCCATACATGCCCAGAATTGATGTCTTGTTCCAGCGTAAAGATGGTACGGTTTTTGTGTTTACATGGAATCTACCGCGCGTTTGCAAAGCTCTACGGACAATCCAGAGGGAACACGAAGGCCAGATTTTTTATCGGCCTGTGAGAAAAGCAGTTACGCATACTGTAATTGGGGCCTTCTTCTTCGATAAAGTAGAAACTGGCCGGTATGGCGCGCTGAAAGGTGTTAATGCAAGGTTTCTCGTAGATACTTTTGATGAGAAGGGAGAGATAAGCATCAATGTGACTGTACAAAGGGATGGAAAATTTTGGTCCTAACACAATACCCCCCCTCCCAGTTGTTTTTTTCTCATGTCGGCAGATATGTTGGCAAAAAATTTTTATCTAATTTTTTTTAGAGAATAAGTTGAATTTTTAGGTTAGATAGATGCCTCGAGGAAGTTTTTTCCATCATTCCTGTTTAGTTCATAAATTCGCATGTTACGATGAGGAGAGGTGAAACGCCAAATGAAACAGCCTGATATAGTATTATCAGGAATTTTAAATTCAAATATGGCAAGAAGTATTGCATATGATGTCTTTTTAATTTGCTTCCGACCAATTTAAAAATTTGCAGTTATTAGATCAAGTAACCCATGCCAAGATTTCAAATGTAATCAAATTCGCGATAGGACACACGCAACAAAAGACGAAGTTTCATTGCAAGCAGCGATCTATTAATGATTATCTATAGAATTGATTTCATGATATCATTTTCAATTTTTAAAACTTTGATCGGACTTTGACTTTGATATACTTTTAAGACAATTTTTGACGAATGTGAAAAAAATTAATCGCGAAAAGGCTAAATGAAACTTGAGCCTGTGCGAACGATGGAGTTGTTGAGCTAAGTAAATAGGCGCATTTACCTTCAGGATTTGATGGGCAAGGAGGACAAAGTGCAGTTTTTGTTACTTCGAAAAATACGCGTTTAAAGTTTCAAAAATTTCATGCAGACCTAGGGCGGAGAAAAAGTTAGAATTGACATTTTGACGCTTGAAAAATGGATCTTAGAAGTAAATGTTTCACGAGATATACTTCAAGACTAGATTTAATAGAACTCACTAAAATCTCAATTTTTCAAAAACTGCACGCATGCGCCTTGTCCTCAAACCCCTTATTTTTTATGTAATATTGAGAATTTTTCGCATTTATTTTGCAAAGCGTATATTACGCAGCTACACGAATTTCTATATCTGCAGTGATATAAGATTGTAAATATGTAAAAAAAAAACTATTGTACAGCGTATATTTTTCTCTTGTTTAACTCATAATTGGTATATTTAGTCAAATAAAATACTTATAACATTTTTACAGCGAACTTACATTTTTTGTCATCCAAAAATGAAGAAAATGGCAGCCAGCCTTTGAATCAATTCCAAAATAATGCATATATGTGACATTCGTACAATAATATTCATTTCAGTACAAAGCGTATACATGCTTCATTTTGAAATGTGGTTTGAGATTGAACAAGGATAAGTCGATAAATTTTTCATAGGAAGAGACTGCTGCGAATTGGGCGCTTTCGTTCAGGTAGATAGGCTGAAAACTCTCTCACGAGGGAGCGTTTACAAATTAAGTAACGTTATCTGGGGAAGGGAGGGAACATAAACCTGCGTTACGCTGCGTTACCAAGGGTGAGACGGGTCGTGCTAGCGTTAAAAATAACCCATTTTTTAAGTTCATTTGTCACACTATCAGTAAAAGTTCTTCAAATTTACGTTTCGATAAGAAATTTTCACGCGAGGGTGTTTCATGTGCTTAAGTTTTTATCTGTGTGCATCTTGGAATGGTTATTGATTCCGATAAGAAACAGCGTGTAAAGCGTTGTAACGTTGGAATTTTCAGAAATATTTCAGGGCATTAAATTGTAAGAGACGTAAAGTTCAGAGCTCGGATATTTTTTGGCGCTGTGGCAAAGTTTATCGTTTCAACGGGTTTTTAAACCTGTAATGTTTGAAGAGCACTGGTTTTGACTTCCTCAATGGGCTCTGAATTGAACTATAATGTTTCCGCGTGTTTTACACTCCACAGTAGTGCCGGTTTTCCTTTCACTCGTGGTAGGTCCAAGAAGGTCTCATTATATTTTTCCGTCAGTTTTACAAAAAAAAATTCTGTCATACATTTTTATCCTTGGCGTAAAACATTAGGTACAACTTATCATGTGTTTGAGTTTGCTGGTGCGTGAGTGCGCATTTTCCAAACGGTCCGTACTTATTATTTCGTCCACTGAAATTAATTTTAGTATTTTTACCGTACTAATAGGGCATTTTCAGAACTTCGCCAATTTATGAGAACTATATGCGAGGATTTTTGTGCGAAAACAACACATATTTCTGCTACATAACTAGCCGTAGACACGCACAATTTTCATTCAGAATCTTAGATAAAGTAATCAACGTTGAGCTATTAATCATTCCTGCACGATTAACCGTAACGTATATTGCACCTCGCGTTAGATATTAGAATATGAGACATTCATTTAATTTTTGGACTTAGCTAGTGGGTAATCTATCTGTCATTCTTCGTTTGCAGTTGAGTTCATGCAGTCCAGCCCACTCAAGTGTTGCTCAAACCACTAACGATAGGACTCATGGTTACATCAATTCACTAGAGTTTTTTGACGTGAAAAACTTCGAGGTTAGTTGCAGAGCCCTGACTTCAGCCATTAAATCTTTGTTAGAGCTGTTTGACGCAACGCGATGGGAACAGTTAGACGCTCCACTGTATGTGCTCCCTAAACTTCATCAGGACAAATTCCCGTACGTTACTTATCATCGCAATAGTAGATTAAAATCTCGTAGAGGTGAGAGGCTACTTTCATGCTCATTAAATGTAGTGGTTATTAATTGTAAGTGGTTCATGGTCATGTTTGGAAGTATAGATTTTCTTTGGGGGTCCTTTTTTTGTGAAGAACGCTGTTTTTGAAAATTTTAAATCATGTTTTCTTTGTAATGGAATAATTTTCCGCGTTAAAACTTGAACCATAAATCTAGATTATTTACTTTTAAAAGAGTTGAAAAATTTAAAAATATTAAGAAATCAAAAGCGTCCGTTCTGTAAAATAAGACGAAACTGGGTCATTCTGAGAAAAAAAATTTTTTTTACATGTTTTTCAATCCTCCATAGTATATGGTTCACTGCCGTTCAGACATCAGAATTTTACGGACATTTTTCAGGTTAAATTTACGGTGAACATTTCTTTTACACATTTTCCAATGAACATATTTGAACACTCGTATTTTAAAAACAATTCGTCATATTGTTCCAAAGTTCCTTCAGAGCAGATGAATATAAACCTTCTGTGAATGCATTTCCAAAGAACTTTGTGGAACCTACTGCGAATGGTACTCCAACAATAATTTCATCCTTTACATTTATTCTTCCTTCTATTTCCTTTTTGCTACTGATATATTTAAAAAAATATATATTTTTATTTTCTTATTTTAGTGGTTCGAGTTGATGTAATGATCTACAGAGCAGACGGAGTTACCTTCGCCTTTAACCGTTGGCCACTCTCGGAGCTGTTAGACTCCTTCAAGAAAAACTCGAAAATAAACAAGACAGGACTATACTATCGAAAAGACAGTCGGTTAATAAAGCATAAGGTACTTGGCGCATTCGTCTTTAACCGGACACAGCCCACTAGACGACACGGAAGCAAACTATTGGGATTTACCGCGACATACCTCCTTGACACTTACGATGTGAATAGCAGTTTTGTAGAATATGTAACGTATTAAATTTCGACGAGGGCGAACCTAATTCTATTTAATTTATATATTTACGAGTACAAATAAAAGACATTTTAATAATATCATTGGTGGTTGCGTTCATACTTGCTGTTCATACAACACTTCTGCAATACTTCATTTCAAGAAATACAAAATAAATTGCCTTCTAAAGGTACACTCTCTTCTAAGAACCCACGTATTATTTGCAACGGGTCAATAACAATAAATGATTCATAAATCTGCAATATAGTGAATATACGTAAAAATTTTCTAGTTGTGTTTTTTAATTGTTAATTCCCTTTCTCTTGGAGATAACTTTTCAAGCTTGCACTTGGTAACGGACTTCGGTTTTACGGAGAACTTTCAAGGAAAGTCCAACATCGACCGTTGCTCATAGTGTAAAATGAATAAACGTGTATGACCTTTATTCAGCTGAAACTAAATTCGAAAACAAATTTTAAGCCTAATTTTATCCATTACGTTATTGATATATGACATTTTTATTTTTGTGTGTGTGTAATTCCATTCGACTTTTTAAGGTTGAACCAATTAAACTTATTCCTATTGAAGTCGTATTTTTTTCGACATCCAAGATTCAATATCAGCGATTCCTAGCTCAGCATTCGAAAATCAAAGCCTTTGAAAATAAGAAAACAAATGATTGTCAATATTAAAAAATTTGCGGCATCGCAAAATAGAACCTTTCGTTGTTTGCAAACTAACACGCAAGCACTCTGCACACGCGGCTCATTGTGCGGGAGCGCCAATTTCCACCCCATCAGACGAACGAATCAAATCTGAACGGGCGGCAAAACAAACAACCGAAATTAATGAAGTCATTAGACCTCGGGTCGTGCCGCGGGCTTATTCCGCATTTTCACATATTTTTCACTAAATCGTGGGGTCGATCAAGGCGTAAGAAATCGGATTGGTTACGCGTGGGGCAGTTTCCGCAGTCGGGCTCGTGGTGCGGCACGTCCCCACGGCTCCCGACCAGTGGCTGCCGTGAAATTGCCCGCCGTTAAGTTAGACGTCCGGCGTTAGTTCCGCATTAAAGGCCAATTCAATGATAATTAATGTTGCGACACCCCACTACCCTCTTTACACCCGTTTTGGTGGGAAACACCCACGGTTGTCTGAGTATAGAAGTAATACGTGATTGAGGATATTGGAAGTAAAGTCTAAGAGCCAATTTCATCAGAGAGTAATCGCACATTTGAGGAGTCGAAATACAAAAAACTTGTGAGCATAATCAGGTACTGCTAAGACTGCAACATTTTTTTTATAATTTTGTCTTAATTCAGTAGAACTAGGTAGAACTACGTTTGATGAAAAGAAGACAACCATTTATAAAATATTCGCCGTTCAAATGTCCGAGAAGTGAAGGCATTCAACCCCCCTTAGCATGGTTTACTTATACGTGACGACGCATTTTTTGGTTTTATTCATTTACTTTTTTATTAAAAAATTGAACTATGTAAGGCATGACGTTATAAATTTTCATCAATTTTTTTTCCGGAAAATTGATCACCAAAACGCTGAAATTTTAAGGAAGAAATTTTTTTAAAAAAGACTTAACATAGATTTGTGTCAATACCCGGGACCAAAAATAATAAATATGCCACATCAGGTTAAGTCCATTCACGGTGAGGAAATCGATATACAGTCATAGAGACATCTGATGACGGTTATAAGGTTTTAAATTTCCACGCTTCACTTGCTTGGGAGAACAAGAGATCTGTTTATCAGTGGGGAAAGTACATAGATTCTCATGGAGAATTCTACCAAACGCAACTAACAGGCAGACATTTCTGTTTCTGTAAAAACTTAGCTCCTTTTGACCAATATTAAAGTCGTCCAATCGGACTGTCGCACGAATATTTCAAAAGGAAGCTGAGGGAGGGAGAGATGACCGTGATTAGGGGGAGGGAGGTAAAAATCAGGTAAAATCCTCATAAAGTTTATGGATGGCCTCAAATCCGATCCTACTACCTAAATTAAATTTTATACTCCGATGATAATCTACGAATGAAGATCGAGTGAAAGCTTTTCGAAAAGAGGAAAAGGTATACAAAAAGAATGGCGTGGATCCCAAAAGACAGAGTCAAAGAATTCGTTTTTCCATGAAAAAATCTGCGCCCAGGCGGTACATAATAAGTAATAACTACCGTCGTTAAAACTGTCATTATTTTTAGGGACAGCTTTTAGGTGTGGAAAAGGTCTATGCATTCAAGATCTCTGATTATATCTTGAATGATTACGTAAATCTAGCAACTATGTTTTGATGGCCACCCGCGCAATTCGTGCCGCTCGAGTTTCAGCCCCTTTCACCTAGGGTCAACTTTTTTTCTCAAAACTTCGGTTAAATTCGTCACCAGCCACTTATCATAAGAGTATAAACCCATGTATCACTTCCTTCCCTCTTATTTTAATAGCCGGTTCTGTTTCCCATCCATTGTCAGTTCAAAACTTCAGATTGATTACTTTCCGAGGGAAGAATTTCAAGTCACACGATTTACTCCTTTTCTAGGTACAGGCGAGAAGACGAGTTACTTTTTAGCATCACTACGAATTCGGTTCAGTTAGAATTCTATTCTCAGGTTCTTCATAGAAAAGGTAATGTCGGCATTTCACATTTTTAGCGAAGGCGATAATTCATCTTCTTTTCAGAATCGAAAGAACTGCTGGGAATTATGATTTCCGGATCTGAAAAGTTTCATCCGCTTACTCTCTTCAACCATAAATAACCTTCGGTGAGTTTGGTGGCATGTTCCATATCAAATTTGACCTCAGCCGCTATATAAAATCAGTAACGCATTAAGTTGGTTTAAAATGAAAATAACAATACTGAAATAAGATGTTTCTTGCGACGCAAAGAAAATGTATAATAAAATGTTACTAATAATGACAGTAGGTAGTTCTGATTTTTTTCATAACGCTTGAGGCGCGAAGCACATCGGGAGGCTGGAGCGCGTAGCGGTCAGGGCCATGGCCCCCAGTTCTTATGTTAACGCAAAAGACGAGCTACCTTAAGAGTACTCCTTTACTTTTCTTACCTTGCGTTTGGGTCTCCGAGGCACTTGATGTGCGAGTCAGTTTTCAATAGATGATTTTATTTCTAAAGCGGTCAAGGGGCGTAGCCGCCTAGTTTGCACCGTTTTTTCGTAAGATACCAGTGAATTTTAGGACTAGAGACTTAATTTTATTATCTCACCAAATTCATATCTTCCACAATTTTTTTTTTTTTTTTTTTTTTTTTTTTTTTTTTTTTTTTTGCAATGTGCCTTCCCACCAAAAACACACAATCCACCAGACTAATCCATAACTTTCCCCATCTTCCCTTTGCATTCCTTGCATCCTCTCGCGAAAAATTTTACGATAACAAAATTTGGTGGTTAGCCCATGGCATTCATACATGGTTATTTATTCAACAAAAGGAAAAAAAAATGATAAAGCTCTGGATTTTTGACCCTCCTCGTCAGAGAGTAGTACAATGTTTTGATCAAATCATATGAATGAGGCAGTTTGCACTCATGCACTGCGCATGCATTGCGGTCCATTTTGACCCTAGATGGTCGGATTATTGTGCAGTCTGTAAGTAAAGCGCGTGAGGCAGCTAATGAAATTCACCAAAGTGGCTGTCGCGTAAACTCTGCTCCGCTGTAAAAGCAGCAGCCTCATTCCGAGGGTAAATATGTCACCCGCACTCCTCAGTCAAAATGCGGGGGAAACATTGCGAGGACAGAAAAAATAATCACCCCTAATCCCAGTTCTATTCATTCTATTAGGCAAAAGATGGATTGAGGGTTGCCGTAAATACCATGAATTAACGGAAAAAATATTTCATACGCGTGAAAATGGGGGAAGTATCCCTCGAAGCTGGGGTTTTTTTCTAGGTGAAAAAAGTAAGAGTTGCGATGACATTATTAAGCTAATGAATAATCCATCATTATAGGTTACTATGCACTATGTAATTTATGAATATTGGAATAAATTTCAGGTATTTGCACAGCTTTTTCCTTCTTTTCACATTGAAAGCTGTTACAGAGGGGAAAAGAGGGACTCGAGGGTAGGTGAGGAGGAAAAGGGAGCGGGGAGAGAAAGACAGAGATTAGAAAGTACCGCGCACAAGTAACTGCTAACCAGTTTTATATTCTGTGCGAAAGTTTTCTCAGATTCTTCGGTTTGCAAGTCCAAAAAATGAACATTTTTAAACTTATTCAATAGACATAATTACCATTTACTGAATAAAGTCAAGTACAACGTCCTTTTGATATCAAGCGCTGGTGTGTAGATCTGTTTACACCCGTACTCATAAAATAGAAACAGCAAAAATTAAGTGTATATAAACTTAAATTTGGTTCAGTAGATTGTTGCTTATTTCTAAGACAAACCAAGCGTTTCAAATAATTTAAATTGTTGAGTTGAGGTTTTTCTGTTAGTTTGGAACTTAAATTAATTAATTCGAAATGATAAAAAAAATTAAACGGAAGGAAATATATTAGTCTTCGTCACTCTCAACTTGCACTTATGCTTCACTATTGTGAGTGAAATTATAAGTAATGACTAAGTTCTTCTGCGTGCAACGAACAATTTTGTCGTAAAATTGTTGTTTTTTAAACCCATATGAAATTAAACGGGTAGATCACTTGCCTCTTCTTCTGTTAAGCTGACAAATAATTCTTATTTGAGTCAACATAGTAACTTCAGAAAGCATTATCACCGAGAAAATGTGCGAGTGCAAAACACCGGTCAGAATGCCAATAGTTAGTAAATAAATTAGGACTTCTCCAATATTTAAATTACCGATCGGAAACTTTAAAACTGTGGGAATAGTGATAGATCGGAAGGAAAGAGAGTAATGACAACAGAGAAGAAACGGAAAAAGGAATTTCGAGTCTACATCACTAAATTTGGAGCGCGATTAAAACGTGCTGCTAAATCGGATTGGATCATTGAATACCAACCAGTCAATAAGAGGATTGTACATCGCTGTGATACAGGCTTAGCAGGGAAAATTCTTATTTTTTTCGCACTGAACTTACAAAAAACTGGAGAATCAATCACCACTAAAGAAAAGCGGTGT